AGTAATGTTTAATTTTTATAACTTTTCACATGATTGCGTTTGGCATTACTATTTAGAATAAATTGCATTTCAATGTACATGTTTATTGTTTGTAAATTGGTTTTGTACATATTTTATATATCTTTTCATCATCGTAATAAAAGCCAAGTTATATTTCTCACATACTTTACATTGTATGTCGTTATTTATCTTTCAAATTATATTTTTATTGTTATAACTGTATATACTTTCAACGTGACATGAATTAATTAAAAGATATGTTTTTTGTTTTAGAAAAAAATTGTTTTATTTCTTGTTGTTTTCAAAATCGAAAACAAATCATGTAAGAGAATGATGGTAACAAATACTACAGATTGTAACTTTTTTCCAGAGGCGAACAAAATGTTTTGCTCTCAATATATCTTATTGCTTTAGTGATGTATATCAAAAGAATTACCTACTGAAAGAGCGTCCATTTTAAATATTTCTTCAATGGTTCACGTTTATTTTTGTTTGTTTGATTGGGTTTTTGTCACATCGACACAGTATAGGTCATATTTTTACTGGTGGAGGAAGACCTCAGGTGTCCTTCCCTGCATTCAATGGCTCACGTGATAAAGGTGAAAGATGCTATTTTCTTTCGTGTGTCACCAATTAATACTTTAACAAACAAGCTTACAGATTTGTAAGTCATGTATACATTACACGATATTGACGTTTTTAACAATGAGAAAAATGAACCCCCTTCAAGTAGTGTAACGTTGGGAAGGGGACGGGCTGTTAAGTAAAAATTTGACATTCGAATGAACTACTAAATGATTTTTCTTAAAAAAAACAAACTACTTGCTTCATACGACATATAGCTTTGATAAAAAGCCATACTTAAAATGTACAAAATGTATACTGGTAAATTGTTTTCTTTAAATATAGTTTCACAGAGCCACTTTATTTTCTTTGTAGACAATAACTTTTTGAAATTCATTAATAATGATTAAAATGGGGTATAACAGCCTTATAAAATATAAAATGATTTTCAAATAGTCTTTTAAGTACAAAGATATTACAACTCAATCTTTATGGACTTCGATTGTTGTATTTTTTTTCTTCTTTAACAATGTAGGGCACGACCAAATCTTTGTTTTGAAACAATGAAAACGATTCTGACCAGCAATATGGATACACATTTGTGTTGATTGCGCGCACATTTCCAGTAGGCAATGAAAGTTGTAATATTATCTCTTCAGATGATAATCCCATGGTAAATGGTATAATGGTATAACTTTCACCGTATGGTTAATGGAACACATTTAAAGTTCCGTTAATAATTCATCACTACGTAACCGGTCAGTGAATCCTTTGGCAGTTTTCTCTTATAATTGGTCTAAATCAAATTGCAACATTCCAAATTGTCTTTTTGTGTCGCCTGTACGGAGTAGTGGCGACATATAGGGATCACTTCTCCGTCGTCTGTCTGTCCGTCTGTCTGTCTGTCCGTCCGTCACAAAACTTGTCCGGACTACTCCTCATAAACTACTGGTGCAATTTCATCCAAACTTTACAAGAATGATCAGTACCAAGTCTAGTTGTGCATATTGTCAGAATTTTCCGGTTCAATGATTTTTGTCAGAGTTATGGCCCTTTAATAATTTTTATTTTTGAAAGTTTGTCCGGACTACTTCTCTTATACCACTAATGCAATTTCAATGAAACTTTACAGGATTGATTTGTAGCTCAAGTCCTTGCGCATATTGCACGGGTTTTCCGGTTGAATGATTTTTGGTCGAGTTATGGCCCTTTGATTAAAAGGTGTTTTTTTCTGTGTGTTGCCAGATACACAAAAGCTTGTCCGGACTACTCCTCATAAACTACTGGTGCAATTTCATCCAAACTTTACAGGAATGATCAGTACCAAGTCTAGTTGTGCATATTGTCAGAATTTTTCGGTTCAATGATTTTTGTTAGAGTTATGGCCCTTTAATAATTTTTATTTTTAAAGTTTGTCCGGACTACTTCTCTTATACCACTAATGTAATTTCAATGAAACTTTACAGGATTAAACTGTAGCTCAAGTCCTTGTGCATATTGCATGGGTTTTCCAGTTGAATGATTTTTGGTCGAGTTATGGCCCTTTGATAAAAAGGTGTTTTTTCTGTGTGTTGCCAGATACACAAAAGCTTGTCCGGACTACTCCTCATAAACTACTGGTGCAATTTTATTCAAACTTTACAGGAATTATCAGTACCAAGTCTAGTTGTGCATTGTCCGTCTGTCTGTCCGTCTGTCACAAAACTTGTCCCAACATGAAATTGGCCACCATGAGGCGACACATGTGATCACTGATCGCTCTTGTTTCTATCCGAGGTAACATCCATATTAAGGAAAAACTTTTACTTACAAGGTAAGAATATTTTTCATATCTCCATTGTTGTTCAGTGTTATTCTAACAATTTCTTCTAATTCATTTTTTTGTTTGTCTTTTTGTTATTTATTTTCTTAATAAAATCAATTTTTAAAAGCTATTTTTATTTGTGATTTATGTCCATAATGGGCTATTCAGGCTAAAATATAACAGGTATTGTAATAAATAAAATATTTCACAAAACTTCAAGTTTTTTTCTTTTCAAATTAAAGCGACTAGTATTCAGAAAGATAATGGAATTCATAACCAAGATTGATGTTCGAGTAATAAAATTGTCGTACTACAAATCTGCATAACTTTCAGCAAGTTCCAAGTTTTTCGTTAAGTTTTTGACAAAACAAATGCGAGTTTCTGCCTTTTTAAAACTGAAAGAAACTAATATAATGTATTATATTAAATCTTTGAAAATCGTTGGTACAATTTAACACGTTACCTGACATTCGACAAATTTCAGAAACACAAGACCTCGCTGTTTAGATATCTAGAAACACTGATTTGGCGTCAGTTTTATAAGATAGCAAAACTATTATTAGGTAACTTTCTTACATGAAAGATATGAGCTGACCGGGTCCGATATTCTTGTGTTGTTTTTTCTTCATTTTGGCAACTTCATCATATTTTAGCATGATACATATAATGATCTCATTGACCTCCTTTATATCACTTTGTCAAGTATGTTTTATACCAAATAGAAAAGAAAAAATTTCTGAATCCTGCAATCAAAAAGGTTGTTTTATATAAAAAAGAAATGTTAACAGAAATCATCAGATTATTATTCCAATCACCTAATCAGATCTAATCATTAAAAGTACATTTTTTTGGCTGAGATTTTTTGCTCTTGTTTCACGTAAATACTCAATCAATCGACCCTGTGATATATACCTTTTTGGTCATTGATTTTTCCAGAGGGATTCCTCTTTTAGCAGTTGCCCCACCATTTGCGATAATGATATTAATGACATTATTATTTTTATCATTATTATCATCATCATCATCAACATCATTATCGTCATCATTATTTTATCACCATTACTGATGTAACACTTTTTGTAGGTTAGTTATTCTAACATCATTATTGCTGTAAGTCAGTAATAAATACTAACATCGTGAATGCTGTAACCTATTTATTTAACATCATTTTTGGTTTAGTTCAGTTATTTCATCATAATAAAAGCAGTTCTAATACTTATAACAGCACGATGGCTGAACGTTCGTTATTCTTACATGAAATTTGCTGTAGGCTAGTTATTCTAAATCATTATCGGTGTAGGTCGGATAATTTATCATCAAACATGCTGTTATTCAAATATTCTAACATTATGATTGCTATAGGTTATTTATTCTTACATCATGATCGTTGTAGGATAGTTATTCCAACACATTATTGTTTTAGGTCAGTTATTTTAACATCATGTTAGGTATAGGTCAGATAGGTCACTTAACTTTATCATCAAACATGTTGTTGTTCAAATATTCTAACATCATGATTGCTTTAGGTTATTTATTCTTACATCATGATCGTTGTAGATTCGTTATTCTAACTTCATTATTTTCTATATCATTATTGCTTGTAACACTATACCAACTGTAGGCTAGTTGATGTAGGAATTTATCATCAAACATGCTGTTGTTCAAATATTCTAACATTTTATTATTGCTTAAGGTTATTTATTCCAACATCATGATCGTTGTAGGATAGTTATTCTTACATCATTATTGTTGTAGGTTAGTTATTTTAACATCTTGTTAGATATAGGTCAGTCCATTTTAAAATCAAAAGTACTGTTATTCAAATATTCTAACATCATGATTGCTGTTATTTTAACATCATGTTAGGTATAGGTCAGATAGGTCAGTTAATTCTGTCATCAAGTATGCTATTGTTCAAATATTCTAACCTCATGATTGCTGTAGATTATTTATTCTAACATCGTTACTTTTTTACATCATTATTGCTGTTAACACTATACCAACTGTAGGCTATTTATTCTTACATTATTGTTGGTATAGGTCAGTTATTTTAATTCCAAACAGTAGCAGGTTAGCTATTTTAACATAGTTATTGCTGTGGGTCGGTTATTGTTTCATCATCATCAGCTTTTATAACATCATGTCTTTTGTTGGTTAGTTGTTTTAACTTAATTGCTGCTGTAGGTCACTTATTCTAACATCAAATATTGTGTATATTGGTTATCTTAAAGTCATACTTACTGTAGATTAGTTATTCTAACATTATTGCATTAGGTCAGTTATTTTAACATCATTATTGCTTAAGATACGGTAATTTTGTAGGGTGGTAATTTTAACATCATCACTATTGTAGGTTAGATACTCCAACATCCTAATTTCTGTATGTTGGTTATTTTAATACGATTAAAGTTGTAGGTCAGTTATTCAAACATGAAAATTGCTGTATGTCAGTTATTCTAACATCATAATTGCTGTATGTCAGTTATTCTTACATCATTTTTGGTGTAAGCCAGTTATTTTAACATCATGTATACTCGTGATATTTTAACATATTTATCCAACGTCTTTCAAATAGTTATTTTTTCGACCCATCTCCCCTTCCTACCCCATAAAACTCCAATACGAGTTAGGCTAGCAATATTTTTTATTCAAACCGGATACATCAACATGCAATAAAATATGCAAAAACGAAACGAGAATAATTAATAAATCATGAAAAGTAAATGAGCAAGAAAACTATGGTAGCTACAACTGTGATTCCGCCGGCGGCACAGTACAGCGTCCCCCTGTCGGCTGCTTTTCGCCGGTAGTATGTGCGTGTATCCTCCAGTATCTAAAATACAAAAAAAATATATCAATTTTAATATCGAATGTTATGATCGGATATGAATATCGATTTTCGATACAGATCTGCGATGTCGAATTAATATTTCGATTTTATATAGCAAGTTAATGTAATATTTTAATATAGTTTAAAGGGGCTCCACTGAGGTCAAAAGAAAAATCCAAAAAGCTTAAAATTTGACTTTTTTACAGAGATCATGTGAAGCATTTAATATGGAAAAATCTACAAAAGATAATTCTCAGAATTAAATTGAATATTGGTTTTTGTACGATTCTTAGTCCGATTTGAGCGTAAATCTTTGCATTTTTTGGGGTCATTTTGCACAAAAAATGATGATTCTGGAAAAACCATAGAGAATGATCTAAAAAGTTATTAGTGCAAACCTACACCAAATGATTCACAAATCTGAGAAAAATGTCTCTAGTCCCTCCATGTCAAATGACCTCAGTGGAGTCCCTTTAATGTCTAATATTTATAGCAAAGTGAAATATCGAATTTAAAGCACTAAAGCATAACTACATAACTATTAAGCCTAAAAAAGAATGATCCAGTTGACTTTATAATATAGTTGATATATTTTGTTTGTGACTTTTGTGTAAATATAAGACGATAAAAATTCCACTGTCACGTGACCGCCATTTGGCTAGATGAGCTATTTATAGATGAAGAAGATGAATAGCTTCATTTCTAATGTTGTGTTTTACAATAAAAGTTCGAATATGATGTATGGTGAAAGTTTACTTTGATTTGAAATTATCAGTATACATTTGTTTTTAAACTCTCACAAACATTTACCGGAAGGGTAAATAATGTTTTAACATTAAGCAATCATGGGGTAATTCAATATTTTTTTACATTTTTACCGCCCCATTTGTTGCTACATATTTAAATTGTTAAGGTTAGTGGTTCTAGTTGAATTTTATTTTTTGTTTTATTCATTATTATATAAAAGCTATTTACGGACATCTTACGTACACAGCAATATCTTTTTAAGCAACTTCACTGAAAGTTTGTTGGACCAACTTTAGACGCGATTATTCTTACATATTCAATGTTAAATATTGAAATTTGTTAGCCGAAATAGATATATTATTTATTTTTAGTTATTTTTTTCTACAATTTATGCATAATTGCAAATATATTTATATTAATTAAATACTAATTTAAAATGAACATGATACCACAAAGTCATGCTTGTTGTATGCAAGTAAGAAACGTGTCACATACGGTACCAAATTGAATCTTAGATATAGTAAGGGAGGCAATCTATAAAATATCATAACAATCTCCGATTTATCTTATACGATTTATCTCCCTTCTCTATATGTAGAATACGATCAATATTCGGAGTGACTTGATATAAACTGACTTGAAAATTGTTTTGTACTTTACGATGTCGTTTATAAAATTTTACATATGATGGCATTTTGTTGCGTAGAAAATGAGCTTTTATTTTGCAAAATCTAATTACTTTTGATGGATTATTGACAGGAAATAATAAAAGCGGAAATGACGTAACCGCATCACGCAACTATTGAGATGCTTGATTTAACTCAATTAAGCTTTGTAAGATAATATATCAACTGATTATAATTATATTGATCACATACAATAAAATACAACCTCTGCAGAGCAATCCCCATTGGGAGACAATGTTTTTCTTTTCTTTCAGAGAGGTATTGCTCTAGAAATGTTGAATACAATGTATATATCGAAAGTGTGATAAAATTGATACATGTTTTCACAGCAAAATAAACACAGATGATACTAATTAATAATTGTCTAAAATTATATTAGCAAGCATACACATCTACGAGTATAAGTTGCATTTAAACAAGAAGATCTAACTTGTAAACATTTTCATTGTAGTTTTGCATTTGTATTTTTATACATGTGTAAATAGGTATGCAAAGAAGAAAATGAATAATATTATATGCAGTTCAAAAATAAACTATGATGAACATAGTTGGAGTTTATGACGTCAATTATTTCGTCATCTTACAATGGGTATCATACTATTGTCAGATTCTATTATATTTTCTTTAATTGCTATTCCTTCAAGGGACTTCGCTGAGGGTTGTCAAAAGTCGCAAAAAATCGATTTTATTCTTTTTTGCATTTTTTTTCCTGTTTCACATGTGCTAAGGTTGATTAATATAAGAGTTACAAATTCTATGTGTGTAGACTTTTGTTCCTCAGTAAAGCTCCTTCACGACAATGCAATTTCTTCCTCAAAACATTTATGGCTTTTACTGATTTTCCGATACCGAAAGAACTTTTTTCTTCTATTTTTCTCTCTCCACAAAACGTTATCGCTTATTCAATAACTAACGATAGCTAGAAGAAAAACTAGACGAATGTAATTAAATTAACCTTGACAATTTAGAAACATCATTTGTTATTGCATTGTCTGTTGCGACGCCATTACCGTTCCAGAAACAGAAAATGAGAACATTTTCCATGGGCGTAGGCGTGTATGAACACGCTACGAAGTACCGGTAGGGACATATTCACTTCATCAATTCAACTTTACGATTTACGCTTTTAACTTTGAATATGTACGATATCAACTTATAACATACATAGATTCACGATTTCAGCTGAATAGATTTACAATTTCAACTGCATGAATTCGCGATTTCAACTTAATTTATAGATATACAATTTTAATTTAATAGATTTACAATTCAACTTAATAGATTTACAATTGCAATTACATGAATGCACGATTTAAACTTAATAGATTTACAATTTCAACTGCACGAAATCACAATGTCAATGGCATTAAAACAACTACATTAATTCACCTTTACCTTTACGATTTCAGCTTCATGAATTCAACTTCATGATTTTACTGTTTCAAACTTTGTGAATTCACAATTCAAACTTCACGAATTCTTCATCGTGAATTCATGAAATTGAAATCGTAAAATCGGAAATTTATGATGTTGAAATCAATAACTGGCGAAGTTAAAAGTTAAAAACCTAGAATTCGTGAAGTAAAAATGCCACCACCGGTCCTTCGTAGATTACGAGTAGACTGCAGTATCACGTTTCTTTTTTTCTCTCTGAGCGGTTTGTCATGGAAACGGTTTTGTCAATATCTACAGAAAACATAGCTTTGACAAAGTTAATTTTTCTAAATTCGTGAATCATGTTTATTATTTTATCTTTTATGTAAACGAAAGACGCTAACAAGCAAAATACCAAAAAAGAAAAAAACAAAAAACAAAAACAAAACAAACTAACAATTTAAACAGCTCAAAACCTCAAGACTAATATCAAAGGTTATGTGGTGTTAATGAAATTAATGAACATATATATGAACATATATGAACTAGATATTAAGATATATGAACACATCTTTAAATGTAAAATATGACGTCACGTTTGCAGAGTACCCAAATACCGCTGCTATAATTAGATTCTTTTCAGCAATTTTTCTTTTGCCAAACTAAAGACATATTTGGAAAGCACTTCTTCAAAAAATGATGGCCGAATGAATTATTTATCTGCAGGCCAAACTTATGTCACTTAATGACTGCTAGCGCTTTGCCCTAATTATGAATAAGCGGTCTCTCCGGACATATTCAATAAATTGTTTACAGAAGATGCCTGGAATAGCCTGCTTAAAGATTGGTTCAGTCAGAGTTTAGGCTACATCAATCAGAATATTTGAATAACAATTAGATGAAGTTTGTTCGGAAAATATCTGGAGAGTTAGAGCAAAGGACACTGATAATTACAGCAGCGGTAGTCGGAGATTTAAGTTAGAGCGGATAGAGAAAACGACCGCACCATATACCAGCACCAAAGAGTAACTTTAGTACGGTAAAAAATGAAGGATGACCACGTCAAACCAGCAGTGAGTAATTGTTATGAAGTAATGACCAATCTTAACATGAATCGGTAATTACTGTGGAATGATGGAATGAATTGACCTTACAAGCGAACTAGTAATTTCAGAGAATTAGGTGATGACACAACCTCACTAGCTTTGCTTAATTTTAGTTAAATATAGTTAAGAATCAATCATATCATCAACATATCAATTCAGAGAAAAAAGAAACGGTACACCGGGCCGGGAATCGGTAATTTAAGTGTAATGAAGTAAAGGACCCAATCACTTCAAGAATCGGTAATTTCAATGTAATGAAAAAATGAACCCACTAGATCGGTAATTTCAGTGTAAAAAAGTAACGGTCCAACCTGATCGAGAATGGGTAATTTCATTGCAATGAAGTTAAGACCAACTAGGCCGGGAATTTGTAATTTCAGTGTAACAAAGTAATGGACCTAATCACTTCAAGAATCGGTAATTTCATTGCAATGAAGTGATGATCGACTAGACCGGGAATCGATTATTTCAGTGAAATGAAGTAACGGCCCAATTGTTAGGGAATCGGTCATGACAGCAAAATGAAGTAACTCCACCGCCAGACCGGGAATCGGTTATTTCAGCGAAATGAAGTAACAGGCAAACCAGACCAGGATTCGGTAAATTCTGTGTAATAAAGTAAAGGTCCCATTAGGCCAGGAATCAGTAAATATAACAAAATGAAGTAATCCCTCCATCTGACTGGATATTGGTAATTTCAGCGGAATAAAGTGACAGCCCCATCACAATTCTAGGTGGGTTTCATTATAATTTTGGACACTGTTTCTTATAATTTGTTGGCAAATTTGACACGCTTACAATAAATAGAGCATGGTCTTTGCCAAACACATACACGTTTGATACATTGCCAGTGTTGTTTTTATATCACGCAAAAATACCAAGGGTGCCAATATTAAACCAAAGAAGTAAAAACACTTTATCAGAATAAATATAATGCTGTATATTAGGTCAGCTGAGAGAATAAGCAATATTTTATATATCGGCATAAATCAAAATCACAGCAAAATTTTTTTTTAAACAAATTGTGATTTACATGTGTATGTATAAGCCGTAAAATATATTAATCTGTATATATTGCAGTGTACACGCT